TATCCCTACATAACCCTAAACCCTAAACTCATACGTCCCAAGCTACAAGCTTGCTGCATTCTTTCAGCGTCGAGGTGCTTTGCCCACAACGGCAGACTCCTGCTTCGGCCCCTCCTGGTTGGGAGGTCAAGAGTGATTGTTACTCACTATCTATTTCTGATTCTAACCCAACCATAACCGCGGCATGTTGTTGCAACCTGTACGCCAATGACCGCTCTGGCTCTGACATGGCTCTGACTCAACTCCGTGACCCTGCAACCCGAGCATACGTAGTCATACTAGTCCCGTACAGTCCGTATGCAAATATCAAAACAAGAATACACCCCAACACCCTAGCAACCTGCGCATGACAGAGCTCTAGCCCATAACATCCCTAAAAGCCCCAGCTCATTCGCCAACCTGCTGAACCTGCTTAATCCATGACCCTGCGAAATCTCAATCTACAGCAGGGTGCAAGCCGTACAGAAAACCCACATCTATCCACCACCAGAAGACCCACACCTTTGTCGAGGAGCTATAATCCCCCCGTAACATTAACCACCCACCCCCTAATATTCAATACTCCCATCATGTGGGTATAATGTAGTATATTGGGAGTATTTAATATCAGGGGGGTTTATCTTCGGGGGAGGGGATTAATTTTGAGCGCAAACATTGCAGCTGCTAAAGCCCGAGAATAGCCCCCAGCAAGGGCTAGCCCTAAACTGGGTTCAGGAACTTAAAATGAATTACAATCACGGGTGTATATACATATGTATCGTAAGTAATATGGTTTCCCCAACATAGTAACTTAAATTAAGTTCCTTAAAACCCTATGTTCCCCCAGTTTCCACTTTTTGGTCCATTTTCTTTTCCAGCTCATTCTCCATTATTGGGGGATAGCATAGCTTAAGTTGAGTTCCTTAACAGCAACTCAGTAAACCCCATTTAGCTTTGAAGCTGACTTTCGTTCAAAGCCTGAAGCCTCCACCCCGGACCCAGAACCAAACCCTCCTGCCCACCCAGCGTTTTAGGGTTTAGGAAACCAAACCCTCCAACCCCCCTAAACCCTAAACCCCTAAACCCGAAACCCATGCTTCCGACATGAGCGCCAAGCTGCAAAAAGGCCGAGGCAGCCTAGCAGCCCTCCGTAAGAGGGTGGAGCGTGACCTCAAGAAGGCTGTTGCTCGCATGCCTTTTGCCATACCCCAAATACATGTGGAGCCGTATTCGAGTAATTCTAGGAAGGTCTCCAAAAGTGGTGAGCTTTTTGACAAGGACAATTGCCCATACATAGTGTTTTCCAAATCGGTGCACCACCCTACTCCCACGAAGCGCATCCTTGCAGAAACAGCGTTGACGAACCCCAACCAGTAGATTAGATTGCAGTACGTCAGAACAAACGCACATTTTGAGGAACCGTCCAAACATGGGAGACTCCTGAAAAAAGATGGGGGCCACGAGAAGGGTTTTCCTAGGCAACAAATTACGAGTAGGGGCGCTGTTTGAGGAGCCCGAATAGCAAGGATGATGCTATATTGAAATCTACCGGGGTCCCCCATTTATGGAAACTCCCATAAACATCGCTTTTGAATATGACCCAGCTGAGGGCTGTTCCATCCAGGGCAAATACATTGTTGAGCTCCAGCAGAGTGTCTATTGCAGCTTGCGGACTCTCCTGGCTCCAGGATGTTCAGGACCCTAAACCCCAAAACCCTGAACCCCAAACCCTAAACCCTAGGTGGTACGACGCATTTGGGGGTTTCTCAAAATGCTGGGCTCCTTTGGGGCAGGTGAGGGGACCCAACGTTGAAAACTTCCGTTGCGAACCATGTCTATAAGTTCCTTAAACCCCTATTTACCCCCAGTGTCCACGTCAAACTCCGTTTCTTCATCTGATTCTCTTTCAGCAAGCACCCTAAATATCGCTATGACCCCTTGAAATGGACCTGGGGTTTCCTTTCCATTTTCCATGTTCCATTGGATTCTCCACTATGGAAATACCAGGACTTTATTGGGAACCCCAAAGAGGGAACCTCAAGAATATCGTAGGGATATGATGGGAAGACACCTACTTACCCGAGCGCACTTCCACTCCTACTATGTTGAGGGGTTCCCTGTTTGGGGGTTCCCACTCAAGTCTCTTTGGGTATGTTTAAGCTACAGTAGCCAGAAGATCCATCAGATGTCAACAGGAAATCCTTGAAAGGGTCTGGTGTTTAGGGTTATATAGGGTTGTATAGGATTATATGGGCTTATATAGGGTTATATAGGGTTCTATGGGCTTGTACAGGGATATGTGGGTTTAGGGCTTGATACCAACTGTCAGGGCCGTATTATCCTTGAACCTGGTCTTGAAGCTTCCCAAAAAGTTCTCAACAGAATCCCCAAGCCTGCGAAACAGGCATCTGAAATCTGAATCGTGGGTTCACGCTGGAAGCGCGTTTCAAAGGTTCAAATTTGTTCATGTCATGTCTTATCAAGTGTGCCCTACCAGCTGAAAACGTGCATCCCACCCACTCGTGGAGAGACGTGTCAAAGCAGCAAATCAACGGTGAGCGCTACGATTTTGAGTGTTGACTCCCAACTATTCATGTCGGAGATGCTGCCACCTAGCCCTATTGCATGCCATGACTCCGTCCATTTCAGAATAGCCTTGCCCCAGCCCATGCGGGCATTGTTGTGGAGCTCGCCTGCGTGCTGAGGTATCCAAGGGTTCGCCGCTGTTGGGATACAGGAAGGTAATGTAAGCTAGCTTCCTCCAAATCACCCCGAAACCTAAATAAAACCAAAGTTCCGCCGAAAACAGGCGCCCTACAAATACCACTGACCTGTTACAAAGAGCTTTTCAGGGTTTCAGCTGATGAGGGAGGGTGCCGCCCACCCGAGCAGGCCGCACCTGTTTCCACGAGGTATCTTTGCATGCCGTCCCAGGCAGCATTGCCAGACTGAGCGGCCCGGAGCTGAGTTAGCGGAATAACCTGCGATCGCACTTCCAAGACCATGAATGCATGCAAATTGGAGTGCGTGGAATCATCGCATGATTTGAGGCCAGCAGAGTACGACTAAGCATGGCGATGTGGGTTTAGGGAGCAGGGTTTTAGGCTTGCGGCGTTTTGGAATTTGCGTTTTTGGATGAGGGTTTGGGGTTTGGTGGCCATCCTCCTTCTTGTGTCGCTCTGTGGGTAGGGCAACAGAAGGACAGGAAAGAACCTTAAACCCTTAACCTCTGGCCTTCAACCCTGTTGAGATCCGGGTGCAGGGCGGGGTGCGCGTTTTAGGGCTCGAGATTTATATTTCACCTTGGCACGTGATTGCCAAACTCAAACATCACACAAATAGGGGAAAAAAAACGAGTATGGTCTGGTGAAATTATCCGCCTTGAAGTGTTTAAATTTGAGCTGGCAAATTTAAAGCACTCCAGATCAGATATTGCTAACCAACAACAAGGAATTATGATCAGGGAACCGCGGACCCGCAACAACATTGAGCACATTGTGTGTTTGAGACCACCATTTTGCTGAAACCTAACCCTAGCATCCGAAACCCTACTGAGCCCAGTCCTTTCGCGGATCGCCGGCATGCTGCACAAGGGTCTGCTGCGCCCATGGTGGAAGCCTGAGCTTTGCGTTTGAAGTCTAGGGCTTAAGATTCCAGGCTCCTGTCAAGCGAGGACTTCGCCATCTGGGGTAGTAGGGATTAAGTAATCCGTTGAGGTTCCTGTATTTAACTTGTCGACTTTTTGAGGAAGCAAGTGCCCTGGACAAAAAAACTTGACCCCTTCAACTTTAGCAGGGTTAGAGTCCCCCTTAAGCAGATAGGATTGGAACTACTAGGGTGATATACTAGTCGTGAAAAAAAACGGAATTTACTATTTAGGGTTTAGGGTGTTGGGCTATACATTCTATACATTGGCCCTGAAAAATGAAAGGTTGCATACTCAGCTACAAAGGAATACGGGCCTCCGGTTTAGTGTCCGGATTACAAGGAGGGGGGACCCTCGCATTTGGAGATTAAGTGTTTAGGATGTATTCATGTGCCGGTAACATGTTTGCTTTCATGCAGTCCCAGGAAATGTTCACTATGTATATAGGTGTCTGTCAAAAGTAATAAACTCCGGGCACCCCTACACAGCATGGTTGCTCCCCTGTCGGCCTGCATATTCAGACCCCCGGAACAGGCCCCTAGCATTCAAGAGCTTGGACAGCGCACCTTGCAGACCCCAAAATACGTTCACGGAGGCTGAGCCCAAAAGTCCTCTAGTATCCGGCACCCCTACCACCTCTCCATGTCGGCCCATGTGCCCTTCCATAACCAAAGCAGAACCTGAGCAGTGTTTTTTGATTGCTGAATCAAAAGCACTATGCTCTTCTTGTACCTATACTACGAATATTCTTTCGTAATGATCAGAAATAATCAACGAAAAGCAGCATGCAATCTTGCTGTGCACCCTGAGCTACACCATCAGCCCCGTTAAAGGTACTGCTCACTTTGACGGTAAAATCCGTGAGCCGCGGTTTTTGTTTATATTCCACTTGAAAGATACTGTACGGAAATGGATGACGTATTCTTACCCTATATCGAGGGATATAGGATCTTCAAACCAAAGCTACGCAACCCATGCAACCAGATTTGCCATTTCATTCGGTTCTCTAGTATCCTGAAACCCTAAACCCCAAACCCTAAACCCCAAACCCTAAATCCCAAACCCTAAACCCTAAACCCTACCCCAAACCCTTAATCCCAAAATGAGATCATGACTCCGTGAAGCTGCTGGTGCCAGGTGGCTGGGCAAGCGTGGCCCCAGCTGAAGGCATAGGGAAGTGATAGAAGTGGGCATAAGAAAGACCTGCTTGCTAGTAAGGAGGTTTGATTTCTTCAGTTGTCGCAAGAAATTCTGGTGCTGGTTGTACTTCCCTTGGAAATTCTCCGGGCGCTCAGTGCTTATGCCCTTTTAATTGCTGATGCACTGTGGAGACAACCCTAAACCCTAAACCCTAAACCGTTTGCTATCATCTGGCCTCGCCATGTGAGAAACTCATTCCTCAGCTGAAGGCGAGCATCCAAACCGACAGATACTGCGGTCAAAACTGAAAGAATGGCTCATCACGTGAGCTAATGGAGAATCAAATGGAAAAGAAAATGGAAAATGAAATGGAAACTACTATATATAGGGTTATGTAAGGGATTATAGGGGTTATAGTCTAAACTCCTAATATCCCCCTTAATAAACCCCTATAGTAGTCCCCTATATATTCCCCTATATAACCCCCTTTAAGGAGTTTAGACTATAGCTCACATGGACGTATCTCCACACACGAGGTCCCCGCATATGCCTCGAAGCACGACTGCGCATAGGGCACCCTGATCTTTTCAGACCTACGTGTGGTCTTGCGAACAGAAACCTTAATGGTCTGCCAGGTCGCAGGAACTTTCCTTTGCCTGCGCCACTGCCGGCAAACGCAAGCCGAGCGATCCTGTCCGGTTGTCCACCGGCCGGGCTCGGCTTGCAATGAAGGAAGGCTTGGTATAGGGACTACAGGGAGGAATCTAAACCTAAACCCTAAGCCCTAAACAGTAGTTTCCATTTGTCCATTATCCCAATATATCCCGCATATACCCATAAGGCATACAATCGTTGTTGCTGGATCTCCATCCCCTACGTCTTTATTGGGCGCGTACCTGCTCGGCAGCAAACTAGGCATGGGGAGATTTTGGGTAGAGGACATGCCACGGTTTAGGGCTATAGAGCCAACATACATGCAAACTATAGATGGGGATATCCCACGTGAAGTCCCTACAGAAGGTTGGGATATCCACTGAAAGAAGCTCCGTAATGCCACCTCCTTGGGGAACAATAACCATGATGGAGAATCAAGTGGAAACTGAAACGAAAGCTAAGGATGTAAAGGGAAATATGCAGAAATTGGGGGGTGGTGGAAATTGCAACCTACTTATCTGTACTTATAACCCAATCATAAACCTTCCAGGTTTGCAAGTATAGTTTGAGTTGCGTCATCAGTACAACTATAATTGGGTCATACTTACACAGGCACCTCCGCCTTAAATGAGGGATATACCTTAAATCATACAAGGGATCCTCATAATATTTTTGGTATATTCCTTATATAAGGGGTTTTGGGCCCTTGGGCAAGTACCCTCCTCTCTCCCTTGGCATGCGAAGCCGTTTGGTCTACGAAGCTCTTCTGCTCGCAATGTGTGATGTGTTGGAAACAAGTTTCCAACACATCACACATTCAGCTCTTACTTACCTACCTAAATTAACCTTATTCAAAATGGCGGGGTCCCTGGGAAGTACTAGGATGTGAAGATTACAAGATGATATGCAGTGAACAATCCCTCCCTAAACCCTCTGCAAAGCATGGGGTCAAATTTCCATTAGCCCCAGGTTGCACCTGAACGGGGCGGAGACTTGGTGGGGTGTCGCGCTTCTGTAAAGCATGCGGGAGTTTCTAAAACTTGGGGGACTTTGAGAAATGTAGGGTTTTTATTGGGCTATGAGCGCATAGGGCTTCGTATAGTACAGGGATGCTTTTGGGATTATTATGAATTCAGGGTTTAGGGTTTAGGGTTGGGGGTGTAAGAAATATCTGGGGAAAGTTTCAAGTTGTTTGAAGCTTGCAAAGCCACACACATGCAGCCGCAAACTGCTCCGCAAACCTATCCAGGTATGGAAGTCATCTTCTGCCTATTCACATGAAACGAAGACAAGGGTTACCTTCCTAACCCCAGGGATATATGAAAAGGTCCGATGCTTCTTACTCTGGATTCTATAGGGGGTAGTTTTCAGAAACCAGCACATGGGGCTTCAGACCCTGGAAACAAGCTGTCCTCATGGGGCTCACCATGCCAGTGTTCAGAAAGGCGCTCATGCGGGAAACGCCGCGCACATCCAGGGACTCGTTACGTCGCTTGGCATAAGTCTTGAGGCCACCTTTGCAGGTTTTGAGGCCAATCACTCACAGAATCAGAGCCTAGGTCCACGCCTGACAATGCATTAGTCCAATCCCATTTCAGCTGACCTCAAGGGGCTGTAGGTTATGACCATTTGTAACGTGAGCGCTTTACTGCCTGGGCTGGGGTGCGCTTATTCAAGGCAAAGACCTGCACGCGCGAGATGGTTTTCCACAGGAGTACATCGAACCCAGCAAAAGCATCGTCTGGGAGTACTTGGTAACTTCTGACAAGGGGTTTAGGGTGGGACATATCTGCCACTTTCTCAATAGCTTGGGGTCTTTCTGCTACTTGAAAGTTTAAAGATAGGCATATTTATTATGTGGTGAAAAATGTCCAACAGTAAGCTTCTGCCTGCTAACTCTACAACCTACTTAATCCCAATCGAAACTACTGGGCCAACAAATCAAAGAACTGCGTGGCACTTGAGCACCTTCGAGCTCATAGGAAATTATGTTTTATGTGGTTCTTATCCCCCCGATAACGGAGAATCAAATGGAAAAGAAAATGGAAAATGACATGGAAACTGGGGCGTATGATTGGCTAGCCCACCAGCCGCGACGACATCTTAGGGCACTCTGTACAGGGGACCTCTTAAGATGTCATAGGCAGTTCTTGAACCTGTTTTTGAAGTACTGTCTGAGGCTTCTAATTTAGCTGGTAGCTTTTGATCAGGAACCGAACTCCCCGAGATCCTATGCCGAACAGCTGGATTGGGGATGTTCTACAGACCATGCCGTTTTTAATTTCCAGGAGCCTCCATCCACCCAGCTGCTCCAACGGGCATAGCCCTCTGCACTGCCACCACGCGTGTGCGCCACGGGAGCCACGGACATGTCCACTTCCATGTCTTTCAGAAGAGCCTGGCTTCAGATCAGAAAAACGGAGCATTCCAGTACCTTCTGGTGTACTGTAAGCTTGGATGAAGGTTTTTCGTGTCTTTGAAGGAACTTCAAGCCTGAGCTTCATGCGCATGCGGCTGTGAAACTCGCCATAAAGATGGGTTCGCGTGAAGACCGCAGTCGGAATATTATTGCGTCAGCTAAAGGGCTCTACAGAGGATCCTACAAGGACTGGTGAAAAGCTCAAGCGTTTGGTTGGGCGGAAGCCGGTTTTCCTGACTGGAAGATCTACTACTAGCCTGCCCCTACGGATTGCATACCCCTTACAACGCAGGTTAGCCCCAGCAAAGACTGCAAGGCATTCTGACAACCATTGCAGCGGAGCGAGCACTAGAACCAATCATCCTTCTTAAGCGGCCTCCTGCGAAAGGGAGGTGAAGCTTTGGGCTTAGGTCGGGATTATAACCCCAAATACAGGATTAGGTTGCTCTGAGACCATGCGCTCAAGATCCACAGAGGAAAAAACGAGAATCGTCAGCTGCAGATAAGGAGAATGGAAGCATTGGACAAGTTCAGAATTGGCTTCGGTTATGAAAACCTACATGGAACCAAAACGACTCTGCCAGAATCATGGCAAGGTCTGGGAGGTACCATACCTGTAAAACTTTAGGGTTGAGGGTTTAGGTGCATCCAAGCTTATCTTACATCTCCCGCTTTGGGGTTTGGAGATAACTCGAAAGCCTGTACCCCAAGCTCTGCACCCTAAACCCCACAAGAACTCCCAGACGGATAGCCTCCAGATCCTGTTTCGTAAAGCGCTTATACCTACACATCCAACTATCTCAATATACCCAGCCCCTTTAAGAGACCTAAGGGTACCCTTTTTGCATAGACCCTATGTACCGCTATGACCCCTTTTCTGGAAACGAGAAGATGGTAGGATCTCAGCTTATGGGCCCCCACATTGAATACCAATAATATACACTCAGCCCTAAACCCTAAACCCTATAGACACTCAGCAAAAACCGTTCCAAAAACAACACTTCATACAGCTCAATCTGCGCGAACCAATCATTATCCCAGCTTGCATTACATTTTCCATGTTTCTTTTCTTGTGTTTTTCCAGATTGATTGGCAACTATTAATACCAAATGCCTTGCTAATCATATCTTCTTTGAGGGCCTCGACATCCGCTGTCCTCAGGTCTACAGCTGCAGGAAGCTCGAAGTCCAAAGGCGCATTTGCGTCGCCTGAGGCACGCAGTCTTAGGTCTCCTTAAAAGGCTTATCGGGATATTCGGGGCTTATGCAACAAGGCTACCCTCAGGATTCTTTGAGCGGTTATAAGGATACAAAGGGTTTCGGGCTCACTTTCTATGATTATGGTTGTAGTTGTTGTCTTTGCTGTTGCTGTTGTGATGGTAGTGGTAGCAGCAGCAGTAGCAGCGGCAGCAGTAGCAGCGGCAGCAGTAGCAGCGGCAGCAGTAGCAGCGGCAGCAGCAGCAGCAGCAGCAGCAGCAGCAGGGGGAGCAGGAGGAGTGGTGATGATGGCACACGACCCTATAGGCCAATATTATCGCTATGCGAGCCCTGTATCCTCCGTATACAGCCAGATATGCTCGCTCACTGAACCCTCCACACCTTAAACCCGAAACCGTGAAACCTATACACTCTAAACCGTAGCCGCGCCTCCAGCATGCACTTCGGTCCAGTCTTTCGGCGCCAGCTGTGCGTGCAGCGCCTCCGTCGCTCGCCTGGCTGTTCCTTCTGGGGTATGTCGGCATATTAACCCCAGCAATGGAGAATGAAGTGGAAACTGAAATGGGATATGGAGGTATAAAATACGGTTGGTAGTAAGTTTTAAAGGGATTCTGCCTTACAACTAGCATATGCCTATGATCGCGTGCTACTTTCAGAAATTAGGAAACCAATGCCCCTTGATAAATACAGGACCGTACATTATCAAAGGAATCTATAAAATGGTAATTTCCCAAAATAAGAGGACCCCAGTATAGACCCGAAAATATTCAAATCCTTGTTATTGGACCCCCTAAAATGGTACTGCTATTTTTGGGCTTCAAATCCTGGACACCCCAAACCCGAACTTTGCAGACCAGGCACTCGTAGGCGTATGCACGGTGGCAGGCGCTTTTCGGAACGATGGCGCTGGGCACTACCGAAGCACAATCCTCAGGATCTTCTCGGAAAGTTTTCAGGCTTCAGGGTTTGGAGTCTATGGGAGAGTAGGGTTTTCAATTCATATGGCTGAGGGTTTCAGAGTTTAGGGCTTAGGGGGTTGGGTTGGTATAGTGCCATCCCCTAAAGTGAAATAGAACCTAAAGAGCGGCTCTTCTCTGATGATTTTTTTTGAAAAAAGATGCACATGCGAGGCTCCGTATTTAATGGCAGGGCTTAGGGTTTACGCTGACATAGGGCTTCGGTGCGCGGTTGCAAGATTATGGCTTCAGGGCCTCGGCACAAAATTGCCGGGCTTAGGGTTGCACAGTTGTACCATTTACTCTGAGACTCTAAACCATGGGCAAAGGCAGACACAGACTGGCAAGCAGCTTGTAGATTAGGGCAATTTCTTCTGACATATTCCTGTTGCTGGCCTGGGGTGCGCTTGCAAAGAAGATAAAGCGAGGACTGTAGTAGAAGCTAAACGTCGCTCCACCTGCAAGTCCTCGAACAGGCGAAAAGCATGGTTAGGAAACACACAATCCTTCTTAACCCTGATGCAAACCCACTTTTGATTTCATCTTTCGCATGCCCCTGGATTGGAGTCCCCAGTTTTGGTACCTCCTTATACCCTCGCTGTAGCTGCATAAGGAACCTAGAATCTCGAAGTATCATATTGGCAACTATTTACCTCGACCCCCATGCCCTACTCCTGTATTTCGGGCTACCTAACTTTATGCCTGGTATCCTCCAATAAAAAACTAGCCACCCCAAAAAACGCAGTAGGGTATGGGTGTCTAGGGAGGCTTCTAGAGTATGTCTGAGGCATCGACCACAAGCCAGAATGGTCCGCCGAGGCTTCTCATCTCCTACTGGTTATTTCCAGCTTAGTACTCTTAAGGATATATATATATATGGGTTTAGGGTTTATATGGGGGCTTCCCACAAGTAGGGGCACCTTTTTTGAGGGGGCCCAATCATAAGGACCATAGCATTTTCGGATCTATATGGGGGGTCCCCCTATTTTGGGAGACTACCGTATAGTCTGATGACACACAAGTGTATATAGCGTACTGGACAAGAAAAAGGAGCATTGTATTATTTAGGTTTTAGGCTTTGGTCAAGGACTTGTTGTTTGTACCCCCAAGGTGTGTAACCTTGGGCCGGTATTGGGTCCCAAATAACCTACTTCAGGGCTACGGCACAAACGCCAACATTTTGAGTTTGTAACCTTGGGCTTTGAGTCGCAATTAACCAACTTAAGCGCTACATTCCCAAACCTCAGGCTAGGGTTTAGGGTCCCAGGGTACAAGGCAAAACTCAGTGACGCTAGTAGGAAACCCCGGGCCCTTTGTAGCAAAGGGATCCTGGTGAGTTGCGCTAGAGGGGTTATAGGGGTATACGGGGGATGTATGGGAGACTTCTAGGGTATAGGTCTATAAGGTTGAAAAAAGAATTTGGGAACCCCCACTCCAGAAATTAGGATCCTGTTATAGTCATATGACAGTAATGGGGTCCTAATTTTGCGGTTCGGGTAGCCAAGATCCTCTCACTACTTGGCTTAGGATTAGGAAATAGAATTAGAAGCCCGTAGGAGTTCGGGAATAAGCTTGAACCATGCTTCAGAATTAGGGAACAAGCGGTAGCATGCGTAAAACTTTTGAGGAATTAAGAAAGATACATGAGCACCATACTGAATCCTTGGGCGTCTTGAAGTGTATTCTGTAGATAAAATCACTAGCAGCATGTGGACGCGCACACTAAAGAGCTCAGACTTTTGGCAGCAAACAACTTCCTGCATTCAGCAATGTTGTCTGCACTGTCTGCACTCCGCGCCATTGGGCGCCACACATCTGTAGCCGCGTCACAGCGGCCTGCCCACCATCTCCCCTCATCGGGGCGGGCGGGCGGGATTTGTACTCGAAGTTACGGCCTTCTGAAAGTGCCTACAAGTCCAAACAACGCAGACTGCGGTAATGAATAGTTGAAGCTCCACAATTGCTAGTGATTGTATTACACGCTGGGGGGGCGTGAGATACCCGAGAATTGCGCTCTGGTGTTTCGTAAGGGATGAAGGCACCCAAGGCTTAAACAAACGCTCAACCACGCCGTGTGGTTCTTAGTTCTTAAAATGTGGGTGTTTGTGTTTGAGGGGTATGTGGGGCAGACCACTATTTTGGCATATTCTGACCCGCCACTATTAAACCGTTCAGAACCAACGACCTGTGGCGCACAAGTTCAGCACATACTGTCGAGGTGGAACAGCTTGGGGTATCCTACATCATAATGATAGAAGGGTCACAGAGTCATGACGTGGGAAAGTATTCAGACTTTACAGACATTGACACTGAGATACTCCGGAAGATTACCCCAGAGGAAGCTTCCAAGTGGATAGTTCTCAGGCGAGTATCCTTAAAGAAAAGAGCTCACATAGACAGATTACCCTTATACCAACATTCCGTCACTAAGTACTTGAGGATCCCAAGCCCTGACTCTAAAAACCTAAACCCCAAACCCTAAATCCCAAACCCTACGCCCTAATCCCGGCCATGATGCACCCCAAGCCTGCAGTCTGACGGTTAAGATTTCTTGCCCAGTCTCTCACAACCATGTGGCAGACTCCCAAACTTAGGGTTTAGGGCTTAGGGTCTCCCAAAATTAGAGGGACCATTTGGGGGTCCCCGTATAAAGGATTTAAAGCATTTTGGGTCTATGTTGGGGTTCCCCGCTTTTGGGAAACTACCATGTACTCTAGGTGCCTAGATGGCTACCAATGACCAATACCAATATCAGGTCTAATTGGTGTACCCTCTACCATAGCTATTTCCGTCAGAGAATATTCCTTGATTGCCGGAGTCAAGAAAGTAGGCACAAAGGCCTGCGAACCACGGCCCTGAAGCAATCGATGCGTCCTCGACACCACGTAGCCAAGGAACGCAAAAGGGCTCCTGTAGAAGAAAATTCTGGGCTTACTCCCCGTGTGAAATGTCAATCGTGAAATCAGGAAAGGGCTTGATTATTTGAAGGGGGGACCTTGCAAAAGAAACGCTTGTGTGTGTCTCTAACAATTCCAGCTCACACAAGGAAGCCCTGCGTCTCCTTCCTTTAATTGGCTTGCATCATGCAATGGGCTGTCGAGAATAGTGCGGTCCGTAGTTTTTAGGTCTGGGGCCGCAGGGGGCCCTGAAGCTTACAAGCCAAAGCTGCGATGATCTTGTTACAATTTGTTCTTCCGCAACAAGTTTGCATGTCTCCTGTTTGAACCCTTGGACCCCAAACGAAGCTTTGACGAACTGCCGTCATGTAGCGAATGGCCAGGAGACCTGAGCTCCCCTCTCCAAAACAAGCCATTGCTACCATCCACTATCGCCGGGTCGTGACTACCCCCAGCACCAGACCACTGCTGCCGCAACCACAATCAAGAAAAAGACATCCTCAACTCTCAACCCCCAACCCAAGCCCCTCAACCCTTACCCACATCTTCCACCCTCAACACTACAGGCCCGAAGCCTGAACTGCAAATCTCCAATCCAAATCCCAAAGCAAAAATCCCACTATAGTCACTGTAGCATAGTATATAGTATAGTACAGGAAAATGTACTGTAATTTACTCTGTTTTCATGTTCTTTTCCATTGACTCCTCCAATTACTTAAACCCTCTCCGCCAGCCTCAGCCACAAGTAGCTGCGCCTTGGCGACCACGGTTTGATGCACACCTGACTACTTGGAGAGTCAAGGAGGGCTTAGGGTTTAGGGTTTAGGGTGCTATGAGTCAAGGAGGGACCTATTGTCCCCCGTAAGTGGAATTTGTAGGGGCTATATGATTATAGGGTATGTATTGGGGTCATATAGGGATAATGGAAAACAAAATGGAAGCTACTATTTAGGGTTTAGGGTTTAGGATATAGTCCCCCTTCAGTAGATGGAAACATGGTTTTGGGTATATTATACAAAGATCCCCATTTATCCCAGATTCTATCTACTTAAGGGGGACTATAGCCAGCTGGCAAGTAAGGGGGACTGATACACAATTAAAAGGTTTAGGGTGCGCATGGTTTAGGGTCAGGGGAGGCTTGGTAAGTAACAACCCCGGTCTTCCTGCTTACTAAGTCTGCCCTGACCCTCCAAGTCGTGTTTGCCTCGGTAAGGTTGAACCAAGAAAGATTAGCCTTCCCTAAACCCTAAACCCTGGCCTGTATCATCCCTGTTTCAAAACGCTACGCCCCTTGAATTTGAATTTTGGGCTGAGGGCTCTGGGCTTTTGGGGTGAGGGCTTGGGGCTGCATGGTGGTTTGGAATTCTTGTGGGTTCATAAAACCAAAAGTCCCTTTCTGGAGAGGTCGTAGAATTGCAAGTATCGTCTTTGCGGGTAGATATGTGGGACTCTGATAGGCCCCCGATTTTGGAACATCCATCTGGCATTCAGACTTTCCTTGGAAAAGGACTTGATTGCGTTAATCCATGGAGGCTTGAAATTGTGAATGCCCGTCAATAGTGTCTTTCAGGACGCTTGTGGCTCACCGTTAAAATACCTCCCCTTAAGTATACCACCCATCTGACCGGGAGATCTCGAATGGCATAGGTTTCTGAGCTTTGTGCAGGCACCCTGGGAGAAACACTCCCCGCACAAATGTTCAGACATAGGACTAAGAAAGAGAGACCTGGACAATCAGACTGAGTCTGTGACATGTTCCAGTACAGTTCTGACTGTGCCAGAATCTCTGGACTGGCCAAACTGCAGCTCCATGCTGAGTGCCACAAAAAGTCAATTGCATTTAGCAGGCTTGCCCAGGCTTTGGCTGCCAGTGTCACGGTTTGTCATGCATTGTATGCCAGTGGCTTTCTTGAATTTCAGATACTTTTCAAAAACAAAGGTGCTAGGCTGCGAGCCCCGCTCGCGCATCATCAGCTGCATAACTGTCACAGAATGGAGCCAACAGAGTGTGGCTGGAGATGTCACCTATCATTAGACTACAGCAGCTGGCAGCAAACGCTGCGACAGTAGGCTTTTTAGTGCATTTTCGCCCATTGGACCAGCTAATGGTTCAAAGCTCAGAAACCCAAATTCAGCAACATGAACACACTCCGCAACCGGCGCAAACCTTCTAGTAAGGACTAGCATATGATTAGCCCCACAAGAACGCATAAAACTTAATCCCAACACTCGATTGGGACCGTGCCTCGGTGGCCCTGACGGTCGACCTCGAAAGTGAACAGATGGCTTCGGGATGTGTCGGATGTGTAGGGATTGGCTTGAAATTTGGAATTTATAAGTTGCGGGCATAGGGCAGCTTTGGGTTCAGGGATCGGCTAACGAATGCAATCCGGAACTGGGCCAGTGTAGAGTACCATGGCTAGCCTTCGACCATTCGCATTGTTGATTGTTCGAGTGAGGCACTGCCTGGCGGAGCAGTTCTGAGGACGTGCTGATTCAAAAGAACCCTTTCTTGCTAGCCCCTCTTCAAATCAATCAAAGCATTTTCGTAAGCGATGATCGCAGAGAAGCTATGCAAGTGAAAGAGAACCATCTAAAGTGCATGAGGTGCCCAAGCAACAATGTGCAATAGAACTGCGATGTGGCTTCTGTGTTTACGGTACAAACTTGGGGTTTGGGCTTGCAAGATCATGAGCCTGTCTTGTAGAAAGATATTGCTGGATTGAAAGTAGGTTTGCACAGAGCTTCTGGATTGCTGATATGAGGAGTACTCAGAGATTCTAGGGCTTAGGGCTTCCATCTATAAGCCTTCCAAATGACATCAGTGGGACCTACAAAAGAACATGTATCTGGAGACCAACAGAATTAACTTGGAAACTGACGCTTAAATCAACGCTTAGATAAGTTTTTTAAGAGCAGCTTAGACAGCGTCCA